AAGAGAGAGAGAGCGATCAACAAAGTAAATGCTTAGAAACTCAAATAAGGACTATCAATTTTACCTATTCACAAACCAAGTGAATGTTACAAAACTCAATAATAAACAACTAATATTTCAGTGAGTTATGTATGACTGACGAGGCAGATCTTTCCCTCGTAGGTTGCCATTTCTTTCTGCGGTAGACCACTTGCTATCCAAGGATACAGAAGACGGTCTGTCCTGCGATTTTTTCCATAGGGGTATTAGCATATACTTGAATGTACTCGATTACGAGTTTAATTCGAACTCGGCTCTCCAATTCTTCAATCTGAGCCGTTATCCATTACTCCACCGTGCCCCCTCTTTTCATTCATTTTGTCTCGTCTCGGTCTCCATATAAGAATATTCACACCCACACCCACACACACACACATATATATATATATATACATACATATAAATATATATATATATATATATATATATACATACATACATATATATATATATATATATATATATATATATATATATATATATATACATGTTTCATTAAAGACGACAGACAAGGTACTACGGTTAAGCTTTTTATTTAATTTTTCTTGTGTTCGAACAAGTGCTTTCTTTTCTGAACAAAGGGTGTGTAAGAACTGTCCAAATGTTTTATATTTCCGAGCGCTTTCGGCTATACCTTTAGCCATTATCAAGGATGATTCAATTTTTCAGTTTAATTGAGTGAGTGCGTTCTGTGTATGTATCAGTGTGTGGTAGGGATGTTTTTAATTTCCGAATATGGTTAGCACATTCTTGCCATGTTCATAGTTAATATTGTTAAGTTTATCTTTTTTATTATTAGGGCTTCCATAATTTTTAATCTTTTTTTTACATCTGAATGAGGTTATTATGTTTGTGTTTTCTACCAGTATGTTTTGAATAGAGTCTGGTAAGTTTTTGTGTGTGTGTTTAAATGGGTTCTAATGGGGCTGTGATCAGATAGGTATAATGTAAGGTGTCTGGATAAGGATGTAGTTGTATGACAGATGTAATTATTTATGAGTTCGTTTTGATCAGAGACACAGTTCTTTAAGGGGCATTTGAACTCAAAGATAATATATATTATATATACACAGACTGTTTTGCTGTATCACAGCTCTTCAGTGTGACTAGACGTCCGATTGTTTCAAGCCGGGATCAAACCCGGCCGAGTTGACATCAGTCAAATATCCTACCCCTAGGCTATCGTCGCACGGTAATATTAACTTATCCCTAAACCAAGAAAATGCTTATAGATTCGAATATAAAAGACCAATTTGGATGCAGTTTTATACCTAACAGTTCCGATTGTAATCGTCACTGTTAAAGAAAATCCTTATCTAAGTCACTTCCTTTCAGCTTGCGTAATTTTTTAATCTAATGATTTTTTTTTACTAAATTTTAATTAATAAAAGTTTCACGAGACATTCAAGAGGTGTGGGATACAGTGAAATCGGCAGGGGGGGGGGAATGTTAGCACAATATTAGTTGGTGCAAAAAATAATGACGCAATGATGTCGTTTTTGACGTTAAAAATACGTCCAAAAACGACATTATTACGTCATTATTTTTGCACCAACCTAATATCTGGCGAATTCAAAAGATTGGATTTGACGTGCGTATAAGGCCGGAGAGATTGTCGGCTGAAATGTGTTAACGGCAACAAAGATGAAAACATGTATGAATGATATATTTATAAATGAAAACGTTGCATCTTGAATAGCAAAACAGAATTTAGCAAATAAAAAGAAATAAAGTTTGCATTTTGAGAACAGTCAGGAAGCAAATTTGCTTTCCAGAAATCAATGGTCAGAGGAACATTTTCATTTTTTCCAAGGATTATGAGAAGTACTTATGCGATGTTTTCAGCAATATTAACATTTTTTTGAGAAGACCAAAGGCAAAAGAAATGTGGTATATTCGCCAACGTTAAAAGCACGGAAGAAAAATGAAACCAATTTTATAGAAGAATTAATATCCGTCTATATTTCTGAGATGGTTCTCCTCATGTTTATTGTCATATTCACGACGTTTCGGCCGCTTTATCTTCTGGTTTTCTTCAGGTTATATACGTTGGAATTTCGAACCGAACCATTCATGGCCCGGTGGATAAAAACGCTGGTTGAAGTAAACCAGTGACTTGACACAAAGAGTTGCAAGTTCAATACATGGCCAAAGCAGAGGTAAACAGAAAGGGGGAAAGTTGAGCTACTAAAGGGAGATAACTGAAATTGAGATATCCAAGAGAGGCATGGCACATGGAGCTAGAACATCTAACTAGGGGGGTCGAATAAAGGGTTTTGTTCGAAATTGCAAGGTATATCACCTGGAGGAGGCCGAAGCATACAATCGAAGATGAGGACAATAGTCCGAACAATGTAAATAGTGTAAATCATTAAGATAACTCATTTCAGAAATATAGACTGATGTTGAAGGATCGGCACGGATCCGATATGCAGAAAATATGGAGGCAATTAGAAAAGGCAATAAACATGACGACAACAGTCCAAACAATGTAAATAATGTAAATAATTACAATACCTCATCTCAGAAATATAGACAGATATTGAAGGATCGGTACAGACCCGATGTACCGAAAATATGGAGACAATTAGAAAAGGCAATAAAGATGTGGACAACAGTCCAAACAATGTAAATAGTGTAAATAATTACAATACCTCATATCAGAAATATAGACAGATATTGAAGGATCGGTACAGACCCGATATACCGAAAATATGGAGAAAATTAGAAAAGGCAATAAAGATGACGACAACAGTCCGAACAATGTAAATAGTGTAAATAATTACAATACCTCATCTCAGAAATATAGACAGATATTGAAGGATCGGTACAGACCCGATATACTGAAAATATGGAGACAATTAGAAAAGGCAATAAAGATGAGAACAACAGTCCAAACAATGTAAATAGTGTAAATAATTACAATACCTCATCTCAGAAATATAGACAGATATTGAAGGATTGGTACAGACCCGATATACCGAAAATATGGAGACACTTAGAAAAGGCAATAAAGATGAGGAAAACAGTCCAAACAATGTAAATAGTGTAAATAATTACAATACCTCATCTCAGAAATATAGACAGATATTGAAGGATCGGTACAGACCCGATATACCGAAAATATGGAGACAATTAGAAAAGGCAATAAAGATGACGACAACACTCCGAACAATGTAAATAGTGTAAATAATTACAATACCTCATCTCAGAAATATAGACAGATATTGAAGGATAGGTACAGACCCGATATACCGAAAATATGGAGACAATCAGAAAAGGCAATAAAGATGAGAACAACAGTCCTAACAATGTAAATAGGGTAAATAATTACAATACCTCATCTAACAACAATTGGTATTCGTAATTATCAATCTCGCAGGTTTCACTGTTATTACACTTCACCTCAGAATAATTAACAAAAGTGAAACTCGTTAGACTGATAAATGTTTCCTATTTGTTCTTTATCTCATCATTCTGCCTGATTCCGATCCATATTTGATTTGTAATTGATCCCAAAGCATATATATTTCTATATAGGGCGCCAACTTAAATTCCAGTTGCGTACCTTTCTCGGCTGCTCGGAATAAACACTACGATCATATAATATGCATCGAAGACTTACTTCTTGAACGACAACCGTTGATTGAAATTAATAACAACAACAAAAACCCTTGGAAATGGCTAAACAAGTGGCCGAATGCGCTTTGGACAATAGCCATTACGAATAATTTTTACACTTGCTTGCTCCTATCAAACCGAAAATAGAAAAACTCAAATTCAAAGAAACATGTTTGAAGTAAAGGTTACTATATATATATATATATATATATAGATAGATAGATAGATAGATAGATAAGAAGACGGAGACTTCAATTATTGATTTTGATTATAATTTATTTCATCAACACCGAGGTGTTCAACTCTTCAGACCAAAATACACCGGACAGACACATTACATTGGTAGTGGGTAGAGAAGGTGAAAGAGAAGGGATGGGTAAAGAGAGGGCTAAGGGATTAGTGGTTAGTAGTAGTCAGTTCACCATGTCGAGAATTTATTCTTTAATTTTGAGATCTTTACATTCGATTGTATTTTACATTGACTCATACAGTTTGTCTTTTTTTTTTAAGCCGGACAAACCAAGTTGATTCAAATTAATTTGATGAAAGAGATCTTAATTCAAATAAAGATCGGTATTAATATAGTAATACTAAAGCATTTGTTTTTTAGGCCGAAGTTTAATAGTCACTGGAAATATTAAGTTTGATATACTGCCTAAAACACACACACACACACACACACACACACACACACACACATATATATATATATATATATATATATATATATATATATATATATATATATAAATTTATTTTATATATGGCCCTGCTCTGACATCTCGTCTACAGTCACTTTCTCACAGACGCGCCGTCGCCTCTCTGTCTGTTTTGCAAATACTGTCATGGCAATTGCTCCGAGGAGCTGCATTCGCTGCTTCCCAGACTTCATGAGTTCAAGCGCCCTACGAGGCTGGCATCCCGCTCTCACCCCTTCACTGTCGAAACTACTAAATGTAGCCGTCTCTTCTACTCCAATAACTTCATGTCTGCACCTTTCGCCAGTGGAACCCCTTCCATATTCCAGTTACTCTGAGAGCTATAATCTCAGCTATTCAAGTGTAATGTCAATCGACATCTCCAGTTGCCTTGATCTATCCCCTACCCTTCTCCTCATCCTTTCTTCTATCACTCCCTATCTGATCTTGCTCCAAATTTTCTGTAACCCTTGCGTCCTAGTGGCTTCTCGCCTTGCTTTTGGGTGAAACGTTTAAATATATATATATATATATATATATATATATATATATATATATATATATATATATATATATATATATATGCATTCTTTCGTAATGCTAGCTTTATTGGTGACTTCCTTTTTACATCCAAGTGAGGCCATGTCTGGATTCAGCGAGTGTCCGTATTCAGCAAACACTTTTCGACCTGTACTTCAAGCGCTTTTCATTAAAAAAAATAAATATAATTTTTTTTTTTTTTTGTTTTTTAATGTTTTTAAAATCGACATTATATGAGGGTCATGGTGATATAACGTCCAAGACGACACTGAACCGAACTAGTGTCCAAAATATATATTTTGCAGTTATTAAATAGATTTTAAAACCCCAGTTCTTAATGATGGTAAGGCGTATACTGAAGACCCCACTCCAAAATAAGAGGGGAAACATATTTTGCATGCAACATTGCTACGTGCACCTGTACGTAGAGAGGTAACGACTGATAAACAACACTTCTAGACGAACGGGTGACTAATAAATTACAGGCTCTCAAAAACAGCTTCGATATAAGCAGGTTAATAGTAATATATAGTTGAAAGAATAAGTTGACTTTTATTATATGTGTGTGTATGTGTGCATGTTGATACACACACACACACACACACACACATATATATATATATATATATATATATATATATATATATACAAATGGTAACAAGGTCCATTAAAGAAGCAATTGCTTAATGAATATGTTGGCGGAAGCAAAATGATTTCATTTTAAGATGACGTGACAGTTAGTCAAGGAGTTTGTTTAGCAACGACTTCCTCTCTCTCTCTCTCTCTCTCTCTCTCTCTCTCTTTATCTATCTATCTATCTATTTATCTATCTATCTATCTTTCTCTCTCACCTCCCCGATATCTGACTCACGGTTTGCTTATTGACTCGGTTTTAATCTTGTTTTCAACATTCCTTCGGTGGCTGGATGACGATTCGGCTGTTCAAGCTTCGGTTAGTATTGGGTAGAAAAAAGACTTGCAAGAAATTGTCCCGTGATAATAATATTATTAAAAAAAAACTTTCATTTTTTTTTTTTTTACTATTGTTCATCTAATACATGTTCCAAGAGCCACTCAAGGTAGAAATAAACTAAAGGAGGCTGTTGTAAAGGCATAGGTGGGGAGCAAGAGGTACATCTGATGAGGATAAATAACGGCTGACCTTGAAGTTCAAGATTTTGGTTGATCGTTTTGGCTTAGCAACATATCAATCTCTCTGGATTATTTAGTGCCGAAATCTAAATATTTGGTACGCAATGTTATTTTATTTATTTTTTGGAGATCATAATGGTCTTACTAATTAACCCATAGCTTGTGGGAAGAGGTGGATCTATACCTTTCCGAAGGGTATTTGCGCTTCAGTGAAAATAACGAACCCAACTGGAATTGGAACTCTGCTCTCCGATAAACAATTTCGAGTCATTATCGATTAACAGTTTCGCGTTCCCTGTAAAGAATAGGGCTATTCGTGTTGCTGTTGTGTGTGTGTGTCTGTGTGTTTTCACTTTAATTCACCCTGTACAAACTGGTCTATCGCAGAAAGAAATGGCAACCCACTGGGGTAGGGGATCTGCATTGTCAGTCATGTATCGAAAGATACATGGACCGCCAAAGCGTGTATCACGCATGTCATATAACTGACTAACTGAATACTAAGTCTCTGGAGAAAGAAAAAAAAACGCTCTCTATTTACTACCCTTAATGCCCTATTGGCAATCATAGCTTGATCTACCACAAGGAAAGTTGGTTCTCTGTGTCGCGCCAGAAGGTTTTTTTTCGCTTGAGTCCATCCTTTACATCTACAAATCAACCATTCGTCCTTGCATGGAATACTACTGCCATATATGGCCCGGAGCCCCCACTGTTCATCTCGAGGTCCTCGACAAAATCCAGAGACAGATATGCAATGTGATAGATCCAGATCTGGTATCACGTCTACAGTCACTTTCTCACAGACGTGAATTGGCTTCCTTCTGTTTTTTTTTTTTCTACATATATTTTCATGGCAACTGCTCTGACGATCTACTTTCACTGGTTCCCAAACTGCATGAATTTAAGCGTGCTACTAGGTTGGTATGTCAGTCCCACTCTTTCACCAACAGCTTCTTATCTCGCACCTCTCGTCAGTGGAACTCCCTTCCTATCACTTACTTCCCTGATAGTTATTATCTTCAAATATTCAAATGTAATGTCAATCGACATCTTCTGGTGTCTTGACCTTGATCCCTGTCCTTCTCTTTATCCTTTTCCCAAACACTCCTCTTTATTCTCACTCTTACTCTCAGTAACCCTTTGCGTGCTCATGGCACTCCCGCCTTTCTTGGGGTGATTTGCTTAAAAGAAATAAAATATATAAATAGCCGAGTCAAAATACAACACACGTGGTCTGAAGATTATGTTGCAGCATGGAACAGACTGTCGCTAATTGGTGTTGTCCTCAGTGTCCACGATGTCTGAGCGATTAGCTTTGTTCTGTCTTCTTCTTCTTCTTCTTCTTCTTCTTCTTCTTCTTCTTCTTCTTCTTCTTCTTCCATCATGGTTTTAAATACTGTGTTGAATTCACAAAACAGAATATCACCCGTAAATACTTTAGTTGTTCTTG